GGTATAGAATAACTCCACCATTTTCCCTCATATATTTAAATTTAATACCAATTGCGGAACCTATATCGAAACTAAATTTTGCTTCTCCATTCAAAATATTTTGCTAATAAAACTACTGGTGGTTTACGTGACCGCATATATTGTCAATATTAACACCCGTTCTACGCCTCATCTGGTGGAGGCGAAATGAATTAGTTGTTAACTCTGTGTGAGTTATAATCCTACGCACTCTTTAAATTCTTTGCTTTTCAGGCGAGTTGACTGATCGCTTTTCTTTAGAAAATATGTGGACAAAAATGGGCTGATGTAGAATTTGAGTGAGAGAAAAAAGTTGAGTACTGAACTGCACTACCTCAACGCTATTCTGCGGTGATTCATCACATTCTGTTGAACGTGACTCTTGCCGGTTCGCCGTCTCATGCCGCCTGAAATGTTAAATATTTTTTGTGTTCAATTGAGGATATAAGCTATAATTGAAAATCGCATGTTCAAACAAGTAATCGGCTTCCTAAGTTTAAGCTGGGACTAATGTTTCGAGATATTCTCGTATATTAAGCTGTTAACAAGGCTTCACTTCAATATATGATTTTTTAAGATACCTTATATTCCCAATACTGAAATTCCACACAAAAAACACGAAAGATTAAAAAGTTCACCTGGCATATTCCATAGGACGTACTGAGTAATTGATCCTGCCGGAGTTATTCATCTGTACCTTTGTCCGAGAATGCGGAGCGCTAGCAGTTCTGCAATAACTAGCTGATCATCAAACAACCATCGGATATGTTACAACCAACCTTAGGTTATTTCGATTATGTTGAGTTTTGACTATCCGATTACTTAGCCTACATGTTCCGATAGACTGCCGCATGAGAGCTTCCCTTTCTGATGCTACTCGAAAGATTTTAAAGTAAACGGATAACATGACCTGGAATGGTGATTATGGTATCCGTAAAAGCACTGCGTTGTGAATTTGACGCTTTTTCAGTGCGTTTTGAACTAACCAGTAATGGAATATAAAAACTTCCAAGAGCGCTATAGATTCGATATGGAACTGAGGGAGAGTAGCCGCACACGAAGCTGTCGTCACGACTGATTGTTGAGGTCGAGTTTCCAGAGAGGTCCTACAAAGGGAAATGC